AATTTATATTCTCTACCTTATATCATCTTTGACTTATGAGATTCACACTGTGAAAAAATCATATTTTATGCTGAGTTGTCCTACGAACAGGTAAGGACGAAGGTCGATAAGGCAATTTTTCTTTCCAAAAAAAGTTTTTAAAAAACACCTTATGGCGATAACAAATCACTTATGAGCTACAATATGGGCATAGTTATTTATCTTGACTTGGTATCGAGGTTTTTCGCACCTGTACTCCCGCAGGTTATCTAAGAAGTTTTTGTCTCATTTTTGAATGAAATACATAGAGTAATATAGAGTCGATGGTTCTGATTACGAATATCATGTTAGTTTTTGTCTAAACTATTTCGATGAATGAGGAGAACAAATTTCCAAGAAATTAAACTCTAGATGAATAAGCGTGCTGTTCTTTGTGTTTAACCAGCTGTCGACCTTATATAATGTTCTAAACGCTTGAAAACAATTTCTAATGGGTATTTAAGTATTTTTTATCTGATGATGCAGAAATAAAGACATTTTGATATATGAAACAGCTAATAGGACCGGATTACGAGTAAAAATAGCAGTTAGTTGACGTGTGCAGCTTCTTCTAAAATTCTATCACTTCCCTATCTCACTCGGTTAGCCCTTGAAAATGATATTAGCAGATCCGGTTTTTCATACTCTATTCTAATATATCTTTGAAGACAAACAAAGATCTATTCTTTTAGAATAAAATTACCATTTAGTAGTGAAAAGTTATATTTTTCAGATCATCTTTTCACAGTTCTCGCATACAGTGTGTCGTTCTATATGTTTAACTGACACAATTAGTATTCAATTAGTTAGAAGACATTCAATAACATATTTCGGATACTTTTCAAGCATTACAGATCCTATGCAGACAGATTGAAAAAGATTATAAAACTTTTTACTATAACAATTAATAATGTTGAAAAACAACAGAGAAGATCTAGTCATTTCCATCACTACGGCTTTATTTTTCAAAAAAGAACCACATGATAATAATAAGTCGATCATCGACTACAACTGAGGCATACTTATTCCTATTTATTTGTCATCAAGATTTTTCACACTTGTATCCTGACTCTAACCTTCAGAGGAATCTAAAAAATTGTTTTCATTGATTTTTGACTCAAACATATGCCATAATATAGAGTTCATAGCATTGATCATGAATATTTCCTCAGTCTTAGTCTAAACTATTTTAACAATTGAAGAGACGAAATATAAAATATTTTAACCTTAAATAAAAAAGACAATCCTCTCTGTTTGCTTTTTTTTAAAGTCATATCCGCACCAATACAGTGCTCTAAATCTTTGAAAAACTATTTAATATAGATAATCGAGTGTCCTTTATCTAATGGAATACTAGGGTTTAATTTCTTGAAAATTGCATTTCACTCAAAGATAAGACAAATGGATTTTAGGTAATCTGAGGAGGTGTACAGGCGCGAAAAACTTCCATGTCAAACCAATGTAGATAACTATGCCCATATTGTAATCCATGAGCGATATGTTATCGTCATGAAGTTTTTTTTTTTTGAAAAATGTTTTAGGAAGAAGTATGGCCTTGTCGACCATCGTCATTTATATTATATAATGAAATTTAGAACGAACTTTTTTTCAGTACTATTTAAATAAAAGTTGGGTCAAAATGAATGTTAAATTGTAGCATTCGATTCGTTTCATTGAGAAAACGTACTCTACCCTTATTGCAAAAAAATACGAAATGATAATTGTACTGCATAGAATTTCAGTGAATTATTACTGAGTTTTTCATTTAAATAATATCGTCAACGAAGTATCTCCACTGAATGATCTTATATCTTCGCGAATATCCCAGGTAGTATTTGGAACATTTTTTTTCTGTTTAACATAGACATATAATAGAACATAATTTACTAATAAGATGATATTTCATCAAACTTTTAGTTGTTTATGTCGATCGTATCAAAAAAACTTGCCGTCCATTTATATGCTCTAATATTTCGACAATCTCTATCTTGTATTTCGTTTAACTCATTACATTTCCATTGTATCGAAAGACTTTAAAATATCACGATCTGCTATTTTTCGTTTAGTTAACCAAAAAACAATATGTATTGAATCAATTAATTATGCATTAGATTGTCCTTGATGTCACTTAACTATTTATTATCAATTCAGATTCGATGAGTCTATTGTTTCTATCATAGAAAAATATTCTTCTCGAAAAAGAATTATAAATCATTACAATTACATAATAGAGTATGTACAGTTCATTTTCTCATTTCATTAGATATTTATCTTAACTGGCTTTCAATAAAGAATGAACTTCTCACCAGGTTACCGATAAGTTTGTTAGTTTTTATAACCCAGACCAGACTTATGGTTTATATCAAAAGGTGCACCATGTTATTCTATTAAAATATTTTGTTAAATATTACAACAAATTTTCAAAATAAATTAATTATCCATATTTAATGAGTAACTCTTAGTCATCAACAGTTAATGGTCTAAAATGTTTAATACTTCAATGAACAATCTAAGATATATGTAAGTATCTAGGATAATTGGAATAGATAAAATTATAAAACATGCCATATATATATATATCAAATAAAAACCGTTGTTTGACACTTCACTTTCAGAAACTGTCATTACAACGTAGGTCTATATGACATCACAATAAATATAATTTTTTTAAAACTTTATTATGATGTAATATATAGGTCAAAATTACAATGACAATTTTGAAAGCAAAGTCTCAAACAATAGTTTTTATTAGATATGAGTTATATATTATAATTTTTATCAATTCGAATTACCCTAGATGCTCATACATATCTCAGAATATCCATTGAAACATTAAGCATTTCAAACCGTTAACTATTGATGACTGAGAGTTACTCATTAAATATGTATGATCAATTTATTTTAAAAATTTGTTATAATTTCTAACAAAATATTTTAATTCATTATGTGTCTATCTTAAACTTATAATCTTTTGTAATAATTTTTGATTTTGACAGATTTGTAGAAAATCTAATTGTATACCTTTTGATATAAACCATAAGTCTAAACGATCAAAGCAAACAAAGTAGTCGACAAAGAAATTATGAGAGGTTTATTATTTATGGACCATCCATTACATCAGATTCTATTTTCTTTTGATAATGCTGTTGTTGTTGTTGTTGGTTTTTTCTGAACTCGTCCTAATACAATAATGTCTAACTTTAACGGCAATAATATTATAATACATAATGATTAAATACAAATCGTAATTGATTATCGAGAATTGTTATTATTTTTAATATATCAAATAATGAGATATGGTAATTATGTAAAGGTGTAGACGAAACAGTTTTCATACATACACTCCAAATGTATTTATATGTTTCGTATATTTGTCATATTTTCTAATGATTAAGATGACATTTATTATTCCAAGAAAAGTTTAGTGTAGAATATCTGATATAATTAGTTATATGGGTTTATTTTTCTATTTTTATCGTTTCATTTTTATATATGTACCTCATTAAGCTGACAGGTTATTGGATCGAAGGAAACACTCATATTATAAGTAAACTAATCATATTTATGATTAGAACTAAACATTCTATACGTTTGTTTTGTTTTGTTTTATAAACTTTATTCAATATACATTCTATCAATCTAACAAAGATAGTTTATTTATGAATAAAATCATCATAGTATGTTAATAAAATTTCAGATAATAAAATATCAAATTAAGACAAAAAAAAGAAATTTATATCTATCGAATCAGAAATATAGATATAAGACAATTCTTAGTAACATTTGTATGCATAGGTTTTTTTTTCTTTAAAGATATGCGATTTTCATATGCTAAATGTCATTATGTTCTTGAAACAATTATTAATAATTATAAAGGTTCTGTTCAAAATACAACATATAATTGTTATGAAATGTTCTCATATGACCTGTAGATTTTTTGTCTACTAACATTATAAGTGCATGTGTTCTAAAACGTCGTTTAGTGTATTTTATGAAAAACGAATAAGAAAAAAAAAACAATTAAATTTGATCGTATACAAAAAAAACATTTATAGTTGTATGCTTCTATCGTTGCTATGATAGGAATGTAAATATTTGAAAAAATAGAGGAAATCCGTAAAATCGACAGTTTTCTTTTTTATATTTAATAAACATCTATGACCTTATTCACGATAATAAATTATTTTTTGATTTATTCTCGTGCATAAGTGAATATAGATTGTCTTTAGATTATGCTCTATTGAAATCTATGAACAATTCGTTGACTTTATTTTTGCATTATATAATTTTTTTCTTTGTATCTTGATTGATGTCACCTAAAAAAGTTCTAATAAAAAAAAATGAGAAATTTAAACTTGAAATACAACATTTAGATTTTTATTACATATCATTCTTATTTTTTTCATTTTTATTCTTATTTATTTCACACAACACAAGCACACATAGAATAAAACTTTAACATTTCTCAAAAGAAAACTGTTCGTAATACAAATTTGTTTTATTTTATTTTTTATATTGATTACATTAAATCGATTTTTTCTACTTTGATATCAACCATATCACCATAACCTTTAGTAAGCACAGGTATATTGGAACTGGTAATAAAACGTGTTTTACCATCAGCAACAATTCGTACACGTATTGAATAATTCGATGTTTTTTCTATATCTTTTTCATCATATTCAAGTATAAATGCTATGGGAAATGTTCTAATTTGGTTTTCAAGAATTAATTTTGCAATAGTATGAAACTTACGAACATATGAACCATCTTGTGAAGCAATATCTATATGTAGAAATTTAATAATAAAAATAATAATATGGCATTTAAAAATTCGTTTTCTTTTCTTTTTAATTTCACTTACCAGTTAATGTCATATCATCGAGATAAATTAAAACCTTGTGATTATCATTGAGAATTTCATTATGTTTTTCATAATCAATCGTGCCTTCTATACGTCTGACCATTTTTATTAATTTAGATTATATGAATAGTTTCTTTGATAGCTCTTAAATAGATATATATTAATAAAAGATTTCATATATCTAAGGTCTTATACAAACCTTGATTAGTTCTTGCGCGTGCTGATGAATGTGCTGTAAGAGCAATTATAATTGATTGTGCGAGTGTAAAGAAGAAACACACAATCTATACGTGAGATAATGTGTTTGCCGGCTCGAATCGACAAGGTGTATGTGTGTGTTTGTTGGCTATAGCTCGCGTTTTAAAAAGGAGACGGAAATTTGCGCTCAGACAAAGCGATTGTTTCTCCTTTCTTTCTCTATTTCGATATCCGCTGATCGTTGGAAAAACGTTGACTCTCATTTTTTTTTTGGTTAGTCTTTTCTTTCCCTCCTTTTTCTAAAAAGAACATAAAAACGCTCGCAGCGAGAGCATTCAACATTGCGTGCCATTAACATCTCGTTCTGTACTTCATTCTTAGAAAAGCAAAGAAAGAAGTCTATATTATTAATGAAAGTTAAAAACAAGTAAAAAAAAAAAAAGGAAACACAATATTAAAAGAAAAGAAAAAAGAATAGTTGCTTCATTTTGTTTTACTTTTCCGATCGATAATGGATTTGTCATCAGTGTCTGTCGATCCATCACTGAGAGAAAAAAATCAACGAGTATAAAGTATGACATACAATAGAAATGAACTCCAGACAAATATACTAGGAGAAAATTGATAATTTGAACTCTCAAAGAAATCTAAGAGATTTTTATAAAATGACGCACTCATTCTATTGACTGTTGTTTCTATTTGTTATACATGTGCGTGTTATATAATAGTTAAGTCTAAATTAATTAGATTCATTTGTTTTTTCTTATTTTTACCTAACTTTCTTTCTTTTTTACCGTCTAATAAAATTTGATGAGTTATATTATCAATTGAAAATTAGAATTGAATTTATAACGATGAGACAAATATATTGATCAATGAAAGAAAAAGGAATATTATGTATATGAAAAATATGTCTTGAAACTTTTAGGTTTGTCGTATAATGAAATATTAGTGTTGTTGTATTGAATAATTTTAAAGAGAATAATTGTTAGTTTTATCGAACATTTTTATTATTTTAAGCTATAATTATTAATGCAACACAATGATATTAATTTATCTTAATAAGTAAATTATTACTTTTCATTATAATTTTATCATCTTTGTTATTTTTTTTGAATTAATACTTAAATTTCTCAGGAAGAAAAACAGAAAATTCTAATAGATCTGTAAACTTTATTATAGAATATTTTATATAATGAGTAATATTTTTTTAGTATTTATTTAAATATTCATTGTATGCTATGAAAGAATATCGCATGTGAAATTCAATATATGTCGAAGTGACGGTGATCAATATATTTTAAAATTAATCACAAAGTATGAATCATCGTCTTTGAAAAGTTTATAAGGAATTTTGAATGGCAATTCGTCATCAACTTTAAAATAAAAAATAACTCTCTCTATTAGTTTCACATTCATTTACAAGAAAATCAAGGGCATTTAAAATTTTTTTCTGTATTGCAACCCATGAATACAGAAAACTATTTGTCGTAAGGGAACGCTATCAAGAAAAAAATAGTTTAACTCTTCTATGTTCTTTTGTGGTTGTTATTGTTGTTGTAACGATGAGAATTAAAGTTCAAGATATAATCAATTTATAATCACAATAATTGATTGCGTTGTCTTAACATGTTTACAACGCATTTGTTTTTTTTTTTCTAAATAGAAAAGACTGACTGTTTTAGTCTATCGTATTAATGAAAAAACTAACCTAAAGAAGACGGTGGCTATCAAGATAGAAAGTGATCTGGACATTCTTCCTTGATATCACTGAATAAAATTTCGTTGAGTTAGATTTTGCTGATAATCACACACACTATGACAACAAACTTCTTATATTGAAAAAGTAAACTTTTGTATTTTAATAAAAGGCCAAACAGTACAAGTAATTGAATGTCAATGTAATTTTTACGTGAGGAGAAACAAACCACTTTATGATCAATTGCATCTTTGATAGGAATGCTTGGCAACTTTTTTTTCAGACTACTAAATTTACTATTGTTCAGCAAAATTATGAATAAAACAGGAAATATGTTGAGCAAGCGATATGCGGTTCAAGTAATCGAAGCAAAATACACAGTTCAATACTTTGAAAAAGATGTGCTCTATATGCAATCATAGTTGGAATCGATTGTAATCGATATATTTCGGACAATTCTAAAGTAGTGGCGGAAGTACTTTAATTCCTTATAGAAAACTTAAAGAAACTTTTTCTCTATATTGACTGATAGTAAAAACGATGTTCTATTTTCTCTATGCTATTACATCATTCTTCAAGTAATATCATCATAATAAAATTTCGATAAAACCTATTTTTCTATTATATGTGCTGATTATACTAATGTCTATTTAGTGGATACTTTTTGAATAACCTTTGATAGAACCAAGATAGAGAACTGCAGTTTTCATCGTTCGAAAGACGAGATGAAGATGCATTGACTCGTATATTATAGGTTTCTTCTTATATGACTTTTTTGAAGCTTTCAATAGATCTCTTTGAAAACAAACCTATCCCATGAGCTGTTTACAGCGAATTCTTAATTGTCAGGTGTGTATTCAAACCGCCAATGGAAGGTCTACAAAACTGCACAAGGTTAAGATGTTTAGAATTAATCATTCAGGAGATATAGGTATTCTAGTCGAATCTCTTAAGTAATTTTTCTGTCAATTTCTGTAATAAAAAATATATTTTTGGGTGTGGGTGTGGGTGTTGGTCTTATTGCAACGCACCCATACCCACTCTTCGACGGCGAACAAATTGTTTCATATGTGCCCACAGACCTTCTATAGCATTACACTCACAGTGGAATCTTGGACAAAAAGTAATGGTAACGTTGTACTCGGCAACAAGCTTTTCCAACTTTGAAACCTAAAAATACATTGGAAGCAACGAAGCAGAAAGTTGTGCTCAATAAGTAAACATAGAACTAAACGAAAAACATACATTCTGAAATGCGGAATGTTTGACTAACAGTGTTTTCAATTCCGATAATTTAATTTTGTAAGGTAGGTTAATTTTTAATTCTTCAGCTAATAATAACAGTCCTTTTGATTTTCCTTTTTTCTCGCCTTCTGTAAATCTACACTGTAGAACTTGTTTATCACCATTATTATCTGTATATTCTATAACATCGACTGGACATCGTGTTCCTTCCTTCATTCCAAATTCACTTAAACTGTACTCACGCGTACTATGAGTGCGAGCATTGTCTATGATGATGTTAATTCTGTGATTCTGATAAGCTTTCTTGAAAGAAAGTAACTTAAACAATCGAGTGAATTTTTCAATAATTGCAGAATTGTCGAAGTAGCCTTTAACACCAACTTGTAAAGAACCTGAAGCGGATCTTGGCACATAGTTAATATTATCATCTTGCAACAGATCTGGATGCTTCTTTACTGCTTCTACCCATTCTTCTTCGGATAACTGGAAAAATGGACTATCAGGATGACATACCAGAAAATCACTTAACATGACACTCCGTCCCTTGCTTTTGTTGTAAAACTGTATTGTTTCGTCCGAATACAATCACCTCTTTGAGACAGTCTCACCACTTCTGAAACACGTTTCATCATGAAGTAAATCGGTAAGCAAAGAAGAGCGAAATTATGATGTACAGGAAGGAAGATGATTAAAACAGTTTACTCACATAACAGAATAACTGGATCTTGTTTTGGAAATATCCATTGAGAATTTATACCATCTGTAACTAAATAATAACTTTGTTTATTTTCTAAAAATGCTTGAACAAATTCTTTTCTATTTTCCACAACATCTGGTCGTTCATGGCCAGACCAATATGATCTCTGTGTATTTTTATCAAATGTGAATCCATAACGACGTAAATCAAGACGACACATTCGTTCACTGCGAACTAATTGATCACTTGTTTTTACCTGTGAAATAGAAAATAAAAACATATGACACGAGACGGAGAAGAAACACACATCCTCCGGATTTTAGACTGAACTTGAAAAACATTTTCAATAAGACTAGCTGCTTCTTCGTTTTTAAAGATTTTTTAAAAGCTAAGTTTGCTAAGAGTCTCTACGTCGAAAATCCAAGTCTACGCTACAAAGAGATAAATAAAGCTTCTGACCTGTCCTGTCAGTTTGTAGTATTGTTGATCTAGATATTGAGCCATCTCCAACGAAGTAAAAGATGCATCTTTTCGTTGATATCCTTGAATTATAAATAACTTCATTTGATTTTCTAATTCTGGGAATATGTCGAAAAAACTATCAAAACGTTTTCCACCACGACATTCTTCATTGAATTCATTCAAATCATCAGCAATAAATGTTTCAGCCCATTTGTGTGCTGTACGACATGTTGTTCCACCAATTTGCTGAAGAAAATCATCTATAGTTCTCCATGAAATGCCAAAATATGTTAGTGTAAATAAATTAAAACTGACAATGAACGTTGAGAAGATTCATTTTTAATCATTTCAAATAGAGCACCGATATCTTCCAAATTAATTTTAGTCCTGAAACCAAAATCTTGCTCCTCTTTTGTTCCAATTTATTTAAATCGATTAACATAGATGCATCAAAATCATTTTCTTTTTTATCAACACGAGTATCAGATTTCCAACGTCTTCTTGCAGCCATGGTTGCCTGAGTTTTTCGTTTAGATGTGTTCACCATGACGAATTGTAAAATTCTTGAGTAAATATAGAGTAAAATCTAGAACACTCGAAAAGAAAGTACGTTTCGTTTCTAAAACCCGTCTCTTTCACTCTCTCCTCGATGCTTTTTGTTTAGTGCTAATATTCTTACACTTTGTTAATTGAACCAATAGAAGCTCTGTCTTGTGTCTCTGTACATGAGTTGCAATAAGAGTGATCTCACCCTATTACAGTCGAATTGCTCCCTTTGAGACTTTAGTAATTGAACTACGTATCATCGAACCTCCTTAAAATCTCTCAAAACTATGTCTAATGAATTCCTCATACTTTTTTGCCTATATGATGTCCAAAAGCTAAATTTTGAATGAAAATTTCTCTTGGAACTAAAAAAAGATCTGGCTGTTCTGAGGTATAGTAAAAGAAAATACTGTAGTTCACTAACAAAAAGCAATTGAGAAACGAGCATGCGTAACTTTTATCTAGAAGTTATGGTGAATCTAGCGATGCAAAAATATTGGCTCTAACATTGTTCTGGAGAGGGCTGAAAATTTTGGTGCAGAAAAGATTGCATTTTTTCCATACTAAAATTGTTATTGATTTTGGTCCACTAAGAGTAAATTTCTATAATTAGAAAATACGTTTCTTATATCAGTTTTAGTTGTAGTTTTACAAGAAAAAAAATTAAGACTCTAGCTCTTATGGCTTAGGAATTACAAGGTCTTTTCCGGTAACATAGTGATTTTTTCGACTTCCCGATTTTGTCAGTTTTTTGAACCCAAAAAGGAACTTTTTCTGGACAAATCATACATATTCAGATTCAGCACATCAAACTACATCTACATATGCAAAAAAAAATCGAAAAAATAAGAAGTGCTGAAATTTTGAATTTCTGGAACCTTACACCTATTTGAAATCAAATATTATATATTGTATCGATCTTGATACATATTAAGACATTTTATTTCTATCAAAAGATATTTTATTCAAATACAAAAAAATTAAATGAATAACATGTGAACATTCGTAAAGAAATAATCAATTCAAAACAGTAATAGACAATTTAGACCTATAATATGAATAACATCGAGGTTCATAATAATGAATGAGAAACATTTTAATATTCTGCAGAAGCAAACAAGCATATTTTATTTTTAGATTAATCATTTTTTTAATCAAGAAGAATATTGGCAATATCAATAATAAAGGAGAAAATTTCCACAAATTTTTCCTCATGAATTGCATTTTGTTTGAGATAAATTCATATTTTTGATCACCCCAAGTAATTTGTTTTGATTTCAATGTTTTTTCGAGGAGTAAACATTTTTTCTCTAGATCTAAACATTTTTGTTTTTCTTCTTTAAGCAGCTTTTCTTTTTCTTCAATAGTTTTTTCTTTTTCTTCAATGGTTTCTTGTTTTTGTTTTAGTAATTCTTCGTTTTCATCAGCTAATTGTTGTAAATCGACTATAATTTGATTTACATTTTTTGGTTGTACAACGACGATGTCATCCTAGAACAAATTAAATAACTGGAAATTTTTTAATATAATGACAAATTTTACCTGCCATGATTAATTTACGAAAAAAAACAATTTCGATAATCATTCAAAAATGACGTATTGACTAGATATATGATAGATAGTTTCCTCCGGAATGGTGGGGGACGATGGTGGAGTCAAATCAGATGTTAATATTTGTAAGGTGAGTAACGGTTCCAAGGCTGATAATTTTTTCAGTTGACCCTTTTTTAGAGTCAGTGCTCATCAATTATTGGCCATTATTATATTGCCAGGAATTAACTAGTTGACTGATTGGCACAAACTACACTTTTTAATACATTCTTCCACAACTTATTTTGGTAATTGCACTTGTGTACCATCGGCAGATACGATTAAAAGTAACATCGGAGGAGTTGGTACTGGTTTGCTTAAATGTAGTTCAGAGGACGTGGGTGTGGTTGTTATTGTGGATCTTATCTCTAATCACATCCACACCCACCCTCACTCACCCACACCCACACCCTAATACAATACAACCTTCCACTAGATAGGAGAAAGTTCAATTGAACTATATCAAAATCTGAGAAAATCCGAAACAGAGAGAAAGATGGAACGAAAGAGAAAAATCTAACTATAGAACGAACGAAAGAGAAAAAACCAACTAACAGAAGAACGAAAGAGAAAAAACCAACTAACAGAAGAACGAAAGAGAAGACACTAATAAATGAGAGAATAACAAGAAAAGACCAATTGAACGAAGTTCAATTAAGTTAGCGTCAATGGATAAATCTTTGAAAATCTGATCATTTTCCAAAAAGCTATATATATGCTGAAAGAGGAAGCTTTGCTGCATCTTCTTGTGATAAAAACTCAACTTCGATATTTTCTTGAAAAATTCGATATTCTTAGGAGGGGGAGGGGGGCTTAAATCCTTAGTTTGATGGATGATATTGACGAACATAGTTCTTTCTTCATTCGACATCATTATTATTCAACATAAACTTCATTAATGAATATTTCAGTCAGTTAAATTATTAATAGGACGTTTAATTTTTGATGATTCTGACTTCGTGATTCATTTGGTTGTATCATTACATTACTAGGATGGATGATTTGTACAGACTGGAGAAGCAAAACTGACTTGACATATTCGAATTGCACATCAATATAAAAATGATTTTGACGTCATTTAATTATTAAATTTAATTTTAATAATGTATCTAACAATTAAAAAGAATCTTAAATTAATCAAATGTCAAATCTAAAAGAAGTTTTCTGTGGCGATGCCACACTTTACAGGAATGTATAGGTAGATGGCACTAGTCTTACAGGTCTTTTCCTCGAATTATCTCATAATCTAATAAAATCATAGAGAACTCAATTAAAAACAAATACTTAGAAAAGGTTAAAAAAATTTTACATTCAATAAAGAATACTTTCAATTCAAGTAGGAAATTTAGAAAAAAAAACAATATCACCAATCAGAACATGAGTATGTATTGCTCATCATATTATGAATATGATTCAGCAATATTAAAACAAAAAAAACAAACGATGACAAATACAGAACAAAATTTCTTTCTTTCCATTGATTATAATTGAAGATGTCTTGTCGTCTATATCTAATATGTTATATGATTTTGATAACGATCAATTTAATTTTTACAGATATTTATTTACATAATCCAAGGTATAACAATTCTTATAAATCTTATTCTAATATCTATGTACATGAATTTTCAGAGGTAGTAATAATCGACATAATGAACAGACTCGTGAACGAGCTAATCCCAAGTTGTAAGTTTTTATTTTTGAATATTCTCAAATAAATATATACATGTACTTTTTTTTTCAGAAGTTTTGATTCGCAAAATAATAATCGAGGTGGATACAATGTTGGTGATAATGGAACCATGTATTATTATTCTAATTCAATATTGCCAATTCAATGGTAATAATAATGTTTTCATTTTCTAATCTTAAAATTTCCTATAGGACAAATCAACATTCATGTAATGATGTTAATGCTGATTGTACAATTTTATTTCAATATACATGTAGTGATACACTTCGAGATGGAAAATCAACAGTGTATGTAATTTGTATTTTTTAATTTCATATAAATATTTTAATTGTATTGATTTTCAAAAATAGAACAATACCTCTATCAGTTGATGGAGAAAATAATTCAACATATCGATTAACAGAAGATTTAACATCATATTTAAATTGTGGTGTACGAAGTCGAAATAAAAATTTATTTACTGCTAATCAAGTAATAGAAAACAAATCAACAATTATTTATTTCACCAATATAGGTTTTTTTTCTAATTAATAGCCTCTTCAGGGTAATTCATCAAATTATACACGACAGAATCCTGGTGGTACAAGATATGGTTATGAATGTCCTGAAGAACGTGATTATTATCCATATTGGCAACCAACTAATTGGATTGTAGGACAAATATTTTCTGAAATAAAAAGTTTTTTTTTCGTGTTTGTTTTAATTACTCTTTAATTCAATAGGATATCGCTATTTTAACAAATCGACAAGATTTCTGTTCTTATTATCGTCAAAATAGTCAAAATGTTCAATCACGTTTTGCATGTACATTTGTAACAAAAGCTGATTTAATGAAAGCCCATGATCTTAAAATTATTTTACCCAATAATAAAGAAGCATGCGAAGTATATTTGTCACAAAATCATTTGTTTTTTTTTTTGTTAATCTTATTTTAATTTTGATGATTATTTAGACATTTAATAATCCACTTTTAAATGGTATAAAACCTCGTTGGATTGAATTTCCAAGTCATAATCAACCACCACCAGAATGCTATGCACCATCATATACAAGAGAAAATCATCTTGGTGATGTTTATGGTTCAGATATGCCCGTATTTAATTGGACATTACCAAATATAAGTGCAAAAAAATGTGTTTTACGTGTTCGGTAAGTTTTGATGTTTTTTTCACCAACTTTTAATTTGATATTTTTTCTTGTTTTAGATATAATATATCAACTGGTGATTATGATGGGTGGAATACAAGTTCAACAAGTAATAATGGTAATCTTTATATAATGAAAGAGTAAGACTTAGATAAAGAAACTAACAGAATGAGATAAATAATTGGTTTATTTTTTGATTTATAAGATTTTTTCCAAATGAATCGATTGCTGAAAGACGAGGTTATCGCTATCAAACAAATCCTGAAATTAAATTATTTGATAGTATAGATTTAACATTTCAACTTGCTATAAATACAGCACAATATGGACGAGTTTTTCAAGACAGGTTTTTAAGATTTTGTTTATAAAATATGAAATTTATTATAAATGATTTAGATCATTTATATTTGAAATTCGACAACGTCCATCTGAATATCAAGATAAACCTATTTATAATCTGAATGTAAGAGGTAGACGTGGAAATATTGTTCAAGGTAAATTAAAAAAGAGAATAAATCAAAAATGATTGTACATATATTATGAAACTTTTTCTTTCAGTATATCCAGCTGTC